AGGATGCATTGTTTCAATCATGGCATATACAAGACTTTAGCATAAATTCTCATATTCCGGCTCCGACTCCATGACATGGCGGCCGACTCTTTGCCTGCCAAGTACCTTTACAAGCTTTGTTGACATCATCCCTCTACCATATTTGCCACGTACATATGACTAACACTGTCTCTTTTGGCCGGGGGAACGCATGGAAGAATAGGGGCACCGTGTCCGAGTCCGACTCGTTACGAATCTGAATAAGAGCAACCGTCGACTTAGTGCCGGAACACTTTGAGCTCGGCGGCCGCGGTTTGAGCTGCCCCTTTTAGCTTCTTCCTCCTTCACCACGCGTTGCCTTCGACTGTGGGAGTAAGACTCGACCACAGGATCCACGCGTTGCCTTCGACCGTAGGAGCAGGACTCGACCATAGGATCAGCAATTGTAGTCCCAATCCGAGTCCCTACGTTGCCTTCGACCGTAGGAGTAAAAACTCGACCACGGATCAGCGACTGTAGCTCCAAGTCCCTCAGTTAGACAACAAGTTTGATGACTTCTTGCTTCCTCCTATCACATATTTTACTGAACATGTAAGGCATGCTTCAATTTTGTTCTAGCGAGTTCCTGGCCAAGTCAGACAATATTCAAGGACTCATCCATATTTTTGGAGTGTAGATTTCATGAGCAGCATCCCATTTGTGCGTTCGCAGGCCGCCAATTTACTCAGACTATTTTTCCATCACAACCGCAAGGGAAGAGCTTCCAAAACTCCTCGTCACACGACGAGAATGAAGAATCCGCGCAAGGGGGAGGCCGAGTCCGAGCCCATCGTTCACCTCTGTTCTAGTGTCGACTCTGACTCTACCGCTTACGCCATTGTTCCAACTCCGCGACATGCCGTATAGTGGTCGAGTCCTTTGACTGTTGAATCCTTTAGTCTTCCTGGATTCTGCTCTCTTGGGGTCGCACCAAATAGGATGCCAGGGATGGATTGTCTTCATTTTCCACGTCCGAGCTCGAGTCTGGTTGACGCCGTAGGCGGTGTTCGACAGTGCACCCAACCTGGGTGAGTCGACGCAGCCTACATAGAGACGAAGGAGTCTGCGAGTGTATCGATTATATGTGTTACCGAGATGGAACCATGGAGCGCATGGGAGCCGATTTAGGTGGTGGTCCCCGGCTGAGCACTACATCCCAGTCCGACTCCAGTCAAGTCGGGGAGAGAGCAATATCCGGCTCCTTGCCGGTGGTGTTTATCTCGCGAATGGCAGAAGTGCTACGTGATTCAATCTCTATCCTTATCTTGTTGGTATGTGTATCTGGAGACGTTTATTGAAAATTGCTTCATTTTGCTAAATTGATACTCGCATGCTGGAGTTACTTACTGCCTTAGCACCTTGATTTCTTCAAGCATCAATATGGCCCTCATTCGCTGCCACCTAAGCAAGTCCTGAACAAGCAGCTTCACCGGCATTCAAACGGGTAGAACACAAATTTTTGGAGTTGTGTTTTTTTTTGCCTTTCTTTAGGTGCACTGTTGCCATGTACTGTATGTATCCACCATGGGAAATCTCCAAGATGCCTTTTTCTAGATATAATAATTTTCATGCATAAATGTGTCTGGTAGGCTTCACAAAAAGTAATTCCTATGTCTGTCATGCGCATTCCCCTAGCTGCCGACTCCGATTCGCGACCACTATACGCTTCATTGGAATCCTTATCTGCTTTCAATTCTGGAAAGTTGAAAAATTTTTTAATCGCCAACACAGTGAGATATGCCGTGTCTGATCTGTCTTCATGTGTATCGACTGCCAGCTTCTTTTTTTTTTTTTTTTTTTTTTTTTTTTTTTTTTTTATCGACCCCTCATTCCGGCTCAGGTAATCACCGTGACCGACTCCTTGAGGAGAGCAACATTCTACTTGCTCGATGGCTGCATCTGTATAATGGCGTGAAGGGCGGTGGCTGGCAGGGTTCCTGAAGGACGTCCGAGTCCGAGTCTATTGTCCGAGTCACGGGATCACCTCGCTGTTTAACCAGCCGACTGAAGCTCCAGTCGACTAAAGGAGTCGGCAAGGAGAGCATAGGTTCAGAATGAGCGGTCGGCGGCTGACCAGATTGCTACGCCGAGGGTTTCTCGTTGACTGCAGAATTCTTCGCCCAACTATACGAACTCGGCTGTCGATCCTTTAAATGGCCCCCCAGACTGCTTTGAGATTACAAATCTCCATTTCCCCTCATTTTCCTTAAATTTTCCATTTTCGCTATGCTTTTATCTCAGTACAGCAGACATGACGTGTCTGATCTATCTTGTGTCGGCAGGCGGCTACAGCCCACCTTGCAATTGATTCAGTGGGCTTGATTTTCTTGTTGTGACGGTATTAGAATGTGTATACTGGAGAGTCTCCTCTTAACAACATATTGCTTGTCTGACTCAATATAGACAGAGCTTTTTGCATAATCAAGAGTAATAGCGGATAAAATAACTGTGACCACGGCGTCTACCGTTAAGGTCTTGGTGGGGGAATCATTTATTCGGCGTCCCGATTTCTTGATTCCCCCGGCCGAGTCCCTCAGTGTGATGGACCGACCACTCTTTGCTAACAACTACAATTTAAATATTATGTCTAATTTAGGGTTACCTCTTGTAGACCTCAACGCACAGCTTCTTTACTTGAGTCTCCTCTAATTCTCTTCTTGGTCCACGGCTCTCCGCGAACCTTCTCAATCTCCCGTCCGTAGTGACCGAACGCTCTCCGAAATTGCTCAGACAAAGAGGCAAACGCAACCTTTTGTCACGATCCCCACAGACGGCGCCAGTGTTGGTTTTTGGGTTTTCGGGCCCAAGGGGGTCCAACACAACCTTGGTCGGTGGATTCACCTTTCAATAAAAATGTGTGCTAAAATAATATGGGCTCGATGATTTTGACGTGGAAACCGAAAGGAAAACCACGGGCCTTTTTGGGCGGTGCCAAGCCTAACTCCACTATGTATTTTGTAGGTGTCTTTGTACATACTTGTAGGGCTATTCTCTACACAAAGTGTTGTGTTTCTAATAATATAGCAATAATAATATAAAGAAGAGTGATGGAATGGTGTGGAAGAGTCCTCCCATTTGTATGGATGAGTGGTGGAGCCTTCTTGGTATGTTGTGGAATGAGGCCTCCTTGGGAGAGTAGTTGTGGGAGAGTGATAGTAGTCTTCAAGTGTGTAGGAAGAGTGCTTGGGAGAGTCCTCCCATGTGTGTATGAGTGAGTGAATGGATGGATGCCCCTTTCTTCTTGTCTTCTCCTCCTTTTATAGCTAGCCCATCCCCAAAAGTGTCCGTTGGACATTTAGTAGGGTAGTGATGGGTGATAATTAGGGTAGTAAGTAAGGGTTTAAGTGGGGGGTTATGGATAATAATAATAATTAGATATTTGACTAGTGATGATGAGTGGGGTAATAATAGGGTAGTAAATGGGCTAACGGCTAGTTTTAGGCCGACCCTACACCCGTTCCGATTCCACACTCGCCGCCGACTCCTGGACCGAGCCGACTCCTTGGTTTGACCCGTATCTCTTTTGGGCTTGCTCCATTTTCTTCTTGGGCTTCCCTTCTTTGTCTGGGCCTTATCTCTTTTCTTCTTGGGCCCCGAGCCCATGGGGTTCACACCCCATCAATAGGTTTTTGAAATAGAACTTAGGCTTACATAAAGCCAATAATGCACTTAAACAATGAAATGCACTAAAACAACCCTTCACTGTGAAACAAATCTCAATTTCCCACTCACTGTAAATCCCATAAAGTCATGCACTATATATGCAAAATTTCTCAAAACATAGCAATACTTCTCAATAATTACCAACAAGTATTTTGGGCATACTTCTCAATAAAAACTAAGTATTGAACATGTTTTTCAACTCCAAAAACATACACAAAAGCTTTAAACTCATACACTGGAATGGTTCACAGGCAACAACAACAACAACATACTTAATTCATCACAATTTCAACCATAAATCATAATTCACAACTCCAAATTCAACGAAACGAACTTCTACGAGTGCGCTGTAGCGAGCCCGAGTGTCTGAGCCTCAAGGACCCACGCGTCCCGGTTTGAAAAACGCGTAGCTGAGCCACAAAGGGCCCAACCAGTACTGGGATTGGCCTGGCGGAGTTTGGTGACGGCGCTTGAGAAGCCCCATCACTAGGCTCCGCCCAGCCACGGATCATGGCAACGGTTCTTGCCTAGAACCGTGGCCATGGTCCGCCCCTCAACGGAGCCGCCCAACGGACATTGCCAAGGTCCGTTGGCTAGCTCCGTTGGGTGATCTGGTGCACCTTCTGTGTGCACCAGATACCTCCCACTTCACTTGCAAAGCAAAACCAGTGCAATCCAAGTCTTCCAAACCACAACAAATCAATCATAAATCATCTATAACACACCAATAGCTCAACCACAACATTTATCTAGCATTTCTACACATCAAACCATAAGAATGGCAATTAACAGAGATGAAAATATAGGTTTGGGAGTCCATGGTTTATACCTTTTCTTGTTCTTCCTCCTTGTATGGATCTCTACCTCCTCTCTACTCAACTTCCACCACTTTCACTTCCTAGACTCCACAAACAACAACACACAAGAGAAGAAACCTCAGAGATTGAAGACTAAAAGAAGAAAACCAAAGGATAGGATGGAAATGAATAGAGGAGATGAATGTTAGAATACTTACTGCAATGCTTCTTTCTTCTACAGAGAACAAAAGGTGAGAGGCAAGGAAAGAGATCATGAGACAAATGAATGAATAGTGTTGATTTTATAGGGTGCAAAACCCTAGCTAATTCTTCAATGATTGGTTGAGGGTAGGATGGTAATTTTGGCTTGCTTTCAATAAGACCAGACAAGGGTAGAAAGGTTCATTGTCTACCTTGCATCATGAACTAAAGTCTAGGAAGTGAATTTTGGATAACTTGGGGTCAAAAATAGATTTTCCAAAAATGTTTTCTAGTTAGAACACTTGGTTTAGGTTTCACAGGTTCCTTTCCGGTTTCACTCAGATTGGCTTTTCGGGTCAAACTTGGTACATAAATATACCCGAAAATTAAGATTTTCAAAATAGAATAAATTTCGGTGCTGGATTTATTTAAAACTCGATTTAAAATATTTAATTCATACACCGTTTTCAAAATAAAATTTTAGAAGAGTGAAAATGGCTATTTTGGAATTTCGTAAAATAGAATTTAGAAAATTTAAATTTGGGTTGTCACAACCACGACCATGGATCGATGATTATATTTTACTTCGATGTAAGAAAGTAACAAATAATTCGAAGTGTCCCACGTGGCCAAGTGGTCCACTGATTAACATATATAATTTCATTAACTAAGAAACATAGATAATATTATTATTATTATATATGTACCTAATATGGTGGAGTTTCATGCAAGCGTGGATTCTCCAAATTCTGACTCGCATTCACACTCTCCATTGCCTACAACTTTCTCTCAGGGTTGCCCCCCACTAATTAATCTCTTCGGAAGGGCATACAAGAAATCTTGTTCGTTTGGAGAAGATTAAGAAGCCATCTTCCTAGCCATTGCAGATTAACCCAAGGGTTATCTTATCAACGAAATCTATCGGGAGGAGACCTAGGATGTTGTCTAGCACCTCCCATGACAGACTGCTTATTCTATCAACTATGTCCACCGGTGAAGGTTTCTCCACCAATTCATTTTAAGTATTTATCATCTTGAGCAACAAATCGAATGGATGATCAATAGCCTCAATAGCGTTCGTGCAAATCGAATCCGATAGAGAGATCAAAGCGCTCCACTTCGCGTCTCCTTCATTTGACCCAGAACTTCCGCAACTGCTCGGGCAAAGGGGCAGCAGTTTCGATTTGTTCACCACACTCACCGTCAACAACATTCACCAGAAGAGAAACGTTTCATGAGGTCAAGGTATGGAGCGTCATCGCCCCATCGCGATCTTGAACTACGCCATTATCGCCCCTGGGGTTTTTTCCGGTGGTCGACATTAGGCCGAATCAAGACTGCAGCAGCAATGCCCGAGTCGAGGACAACATCAGCCTTTATGATGCGAGCAAGTACCACCATATCGCGGAGGACAAGCAACTGTGCGACTGATGGTCTCCGGGATGCATCGTAGAAAAGCCATCAAGGCCACCATGGACTACGCGAAGAAGATCGAGGGAGAGAGTAGCGCCGAGACCCCGTCACCGAAGAGCTTTCCATCAGAGACCATGAAATCGATTGTGTATTACCTGTTGAAGACTTGCAGAGTTGTGGCGGCGGCACGACATGAAGTGGACACAGCGCCATTACTTAAGGACAAGATCTTCTGTAGCTGGCGATTCATGCAATCATGCGCTCTTCTCTGAGCCTACGAGGGGCGGCTCGGTTCCTACGGCAAGCCAGTAGTCGGAGGATGATGCGAGAGCCTTCGACGTTATTCTGCGAGGCAGCGACAAAGCAGATCTAGGAGAGGAAGAGAGATTGGTCCTACTCGAAGCCTATCGTCAACCTAGATCTCATTTGGAACTTACCTTTCACCATAGTCTTGATCTCTGCATGCTGAAAAATCTAAAAGCTGGTAGTGGAAAATGGCCATGCAAACTCAGATGCTGCGGAAGAATATAGGCCATGGATATTACACATTGCGCGGGAGTGCGAGAAACAGACGGACAAGGACAAGATCAAGTTCTTGGACAAGGAGATTTGGTCCATGTTTTGCAATTGGAAGAAAATCATAAAAGCTACATGGTAGTTGATCGTGGTAGTCATGTTTGACCAAAAGTAGATAGCATGCTCGAGCCTGTACACCAGCTCCCAACAAGAGCACCAATGATGGATTTAATTAATCCTGGGGTTTGAATTATTAAACCTGATTAATAAATGAGATATTAATTATAAAGGATAACGTATCAGATGATAAACAAGGATGGAATAATGGAAGAACAATAGATGTGCCACGGAGGCAATCTCGTAGATGATTACAAAGGATGCCAACAAAGCTATTAAAATGGATAATTTAGACAAGATAGATTGTGATGTCTTAATAGGACAAATGCATGTCTATTTATACAAAATAATCCTAACTAACTCGCTAATTTCACGGTAGGCCATAAGATTAAGTTAGTGCCCATGTCGTGGGCCGTAGGCCGTAGGACTAAGTCAAGGCCCAGAGATGGGCTCTATACTCTCCTTGGGCCATCCGAGCCATATTCTTGGACCTTGAACGATGGATTCCTAGACCCCCGGTCCCTATTATTGGGTCATTTTCAATATATCCATCACCCCTAATTATCTCATTGCAACCAAACGCCCCGTTACACCATCTTTGATTGACATAATAGGTCGGGAATATAATGACGTTCTCATGAATAAACATATTGTGTTGTTTGATGAATGTTTTTATTTCAAGTTCATTACATGGCGGCAAATTATTTATTTTTTTTTAAAAAAACAACAACAACGTTGGTGCATGTTGTGTGAACCACATTGCCTAGTGGGAACTTACACTACATGCCCGCGCTAAAACCATTGGGTAAGCGGCAACCGGTGATCACTCTTTTTTTAATACCTTTTATCTCTCTCTTTTACTTGGCCTATCAACCAAAAAAAAAAAAACATGGGAGGGGGGGTTTTTAAATAAGGGTTTATTACTGAAATGGTCCCTAGACTATTGCGAAATTACAAATTTGGTCATCGACAATTTTTCATACCCAATTAAATCATCGACTTTGAAAATATTAACCATTTTGTTTCTCTGTTAGATCAGGCGTTAGAAGTCCGTTAAATGGGAGGGTATTGATGGAATTTCGCACGAGAAGACCCATTTCATATCTTATTTAATTGATTAACTCAACAGTCGCTTCCAATTGATTGTCGGCCGGCTTTTGAAGCCAAGATTTTGATTGCATAGGCTCATCATCATCCATGGGGGAAAGGGAGCACAACCGCGTCGCATTCTATCACCACTGTCCGCTAAAACCGAAAGTTATCGGTGAAGACCCCGACCTCGCCAGAACGCCGCTACATGCCAAGAGGAGCTGCTGAGCCTCGTTGGATATGCTACTGCACCACCTGAGACCATCGCCGATACTGGAGTTCACTGATGTAGCTGCCGGAGCAGAACTCAAGGTCGCTGGATCTTGTTGCTTCGCCGTCAATCTGCTACTGAGCTGGGAGAATAGGGGTTGCCGGTTATCGTTGCACGTCTTAGGAGCTCTGTTCGCGTCATACGGGAGAGAGACGAGGGCTGTAGTGCTGCTAGCCAAAGCTAGAGAAGGAGCCGCAATCTGCCCAGATCGCCGGAAAACAGAAGTCGCTGGAAGCATGAGGGAGGTCATCGCCAAGCTTGCCATTGTTGGAGGTCTCCACCATCACAAACCACCTCCCTCTCCGGGCAGCTTTTGAAGCCAAGATAATAGTGACCAAACAAATGAGATTCACGCTTCATACTCACGCACGGGTTTCTCGGCCTCTCTGAATTAATTGGAAATGGGTATTCTCATGCGAAATTCCATAAATGCCCTCCAATTTAACGGACTTCTAATACCTGATATAATGGAGGACCAAAATGGTTAACATTTTCAAAGTTGAGGACTTAATTGGGTACGAAAAATTATCGAGGACCAAATTGGTAATTTCGCAATAGTCAATGGACCATTTCGGTAATAAACTCTTTAAATAAAATACCTTTTATCTCTTTTTTTTTTAAATACCTTTTATCTCTCTCTTCCACTCGATCATCACATGCACAATTTTCTTCGAAAAGTTAATTACTAAAATGATCCATTGACCCTTTAAAAAAATTGATCCATCGACTATAGCGAAATTACCAATTTGTTCGTGAGTTAACAGATGTCTAACGGCAAAACAAACGGAATACCAAATTAGTTAATATTTTTAAAATTGAGGACTTAATTGGTTAAAAAAATAGTTAATGACCAAATCGGTAATTTCACTATAGTCAAAAGACCATTTCGGTAATTAATTCTTAAAAAAGTATATGATTTGAATGATCAAACTATTCTAAGTTCTAACCTCATTATAACAAATCCAATTTCACCAATTTACCAAAGAATCAGACTTCGGAGACAGAACACATCCTCAATTTATTTCATTGTCACATATTATCTCATGTATCACTAATCCAAGAGAAATGACAGTTTTATCCCTTTAACAATGAAAATTTTAATTAGTTACATACGAACTAATTAATTTTAATAAAAATTAAGAAATATATGTAACAATCAATTAAGTAATGTCGCATCATGAGACGGACAATTTAAGGTCAATTTAGAATGAAAATGTAGTAAGATTAAATCAAAAAATGTTCATGAGATTATAAAATTAAAAAATTCATAAATACAGATATACCCTTGTACTGACTCAATATTTTGTACTGATTTATAGTTCGAACCCCATGAGAGGGGTTGCCATTGGTGGGTAATACTGGAAATTATAACGCTCTTCCCGCCAATTCTTTATAGGATTACTGCTGCGTTTGTATATGAAAAGAAAATACAATTCTATAAAAGAGTGCTTATGAGGGTGTATTCAATCTTCTCTCAGATTCTGTAATGTCATATTAACTGAATCCCGAGTCAACTCGGCTTCCCCACCCACTGCTCTCCCGTGTTTCAATTCATTTACGTTTTATTCGTTGGTTTATTTTATAATTATGATGTGATTTCTTGAATTATTTGATTATTACTCTAGTATGCTCTCTTATTGTTGGTAAATAATATTATAGATCATTGATAATTTTAATATAATGAATGTTTATTTTAATGTACACACAATTATTTTTATGTAATATACAAAAAAAAAAATATACATACAATACATTAAAAATAAAATTTAAAAATATTTTAATATATTAAAAATGAACATTTAACATACTAAAAGTAAATCTTATATCAATGATCAACTTTCCAATATAAACCATGGTCCACGATATAATGATTGTTCATTGCCCATGTGGATTGAAAATTGGTTGGTTTTTTATATATTTTTTGCCTTTAG